GCCACCGCCCCCACCCTGAACCCTAAGATAGATAATGGGATGATGGCGGCGAGCCCATTCCTTCTCTCTGGCAAGGCCCTTCCTTCTTCCTTCTCCTTCCATGATTCAAAAATCGACTGACCCGAACTCGAAAAGTCAGCTGACTGAAATCTAGCTAAACTGTACAAAAATGTCCAAAGAATGAGTGAAACAACGTGTCATAGTAGCAAAGTTAAATTTGGAACGGCCTGAGAGTATCACAACGCAGCATCATACTTGTCTTTTGGCTAAGGAACGCAAATGAAAAACAAACTTTAAATCCCATCAGAAATTGGAAGCGTAAATTTGCACATACATACCAGCTTGCTTGCCGCCGAGTCGTAGCCACCATACTAGTCATCAGAAAAACCAAAATTCCAAACCTCTTCATAGCTGACTTTGACTAGAAGATGGCTTGGAAACATGTCGACGGCACTCCTCAAGTCAGAGTCCGCACTTCTCCTGTCGGACTCTGAAGCACGGTGGCAGCAGATTTTTGCAGTCAGCTCTTCAAGTGCTAACAATTGCTCGAGGCCGGCAGGTGCAGCCCCAATCTGCTCCGATCCATGTACATTGAATTTTAGCTTCAGCCTTTGGAGCCTGGGCATTGCTCCGGCCTGGAAGGTCAAGTACGAAGCACTACTTAATAGAAGCTTAAAACTCTTTAGAGCAGGGAATGCTCCTCTCTCGATGGAAATCACTTTGTTTGTGGTTTTTCCGGTCTCTACATCGAGGTGAGTGAGGGCGGGCAGCTCAGCAAGGATACCAACACCATCAGTTAGCAGCTGACCAACTTTGAATTTTAACTGGTAGAGGTTATGGAGTTCCCCCATCCAGCTAGGGACCCTGGAAAACCAGCACCTCCATTGCATGATAAGTCTCTCAAGGCGGTAATGAGTTGGCGGAGGAAACAATGGCATGAAGCCATCTATGCAGCCGATGAGATCGACAAACAGGTTCTCTAGGTGACATAGGTTTCCTAGAGAAGAGCATAGAGCATCCATGCGTCTCTCCCAGTCATCCTTACGAATGCCGCACGTGAGATATAGAAATTTCAGATTGGTAAGCTCTCCAAGGCCCCTGATATTATCTAGCTTGTACAACGTAAAATCAAATCCAAATAGATGACGCAGGGATTTCATATTGCCAATCCCATCATGGAGCCTCGTCCAAGCTTTCAGAAACATCAAACGGGGTAGATGAATTATATCTGACGGAACCCTGTCACAACTAAACAGCTCAAGTGTCTCCAAGTGTTGAAGCACTCTAATCTGTGTTGGTAGCTGGTATGAACAACCATCACTAATGCATAAATACCTCAGCTGATAAAGTTTACACAATCCAGTGAGGTCAACTTCAGCATCATCAAGGTCAATATGAACAACTCGGAGGAACTTGAACTTTGACAAAGGAGGTGTAATCTGAGAGCTCCCAAAGAACATAACCGACCGAACCTGCGACATACTATTATTTGTCGATACTATTTCTCGGCCATTACTTGCACCATCCAAGCGGATAGACAGCCGACGGACCTTGCATTGCAGTCTTGTAAAGGCATGTGGGTCATCCACTATAGTGAGAAAATTCTCCTGTGCTGACTTAATCAAGATAAGATTAAGCAACATATCATGAACCTTGCATTTTGTCACCGACCCTCTCTTATCGAATTCTACAGGTTGAATAAGGCTTCTATTCACAAGCTCATTGAAATAATTTCTTGCAACCTTCTCCACATCTTGTCCATTTTCTATACTGATGAAACCTTCAGCCATCCACTGGCGTTCCAGATTAGACCTCTCTATTTGGTAGTCCTCTGGATACATACCAAGATACAACAAGCATGTCTTCAGATAAGGAGGAAGATCTTTGTAGCTGAGGTTTAAGATTTGCCTCATCCCGTCAAGCATGTGATTGCTTTCCGAGCCCATAGAATCTTGTACATATTCCCACCTTTCCTTTTGGTTGCAATTTTTATTTGCTAGCATACTAGATATACTAATAATTGCAAGAGGTAAACCACCACATTTTTTGAGAATTTCAACCGAAATATCTCTAAGCTGGGGAGGGCAAGCTTCTTTCGAGCCAAATACCCTACCAAAAAACAGCCTTGTTGAGTCTTCGTTGGTGAGGGGCTTCATTTGTAAAATGCAATCACGGGAGCAACATGTCATAGCCACATCTTGCTTTCTTGTAGTTACTACTACTCTGCTAGCAAGATCATTTTTACTAAAAACACATTTAATAATATTCCATGCTGATATATCCCATATATCATCAATTATGATCAAATATCTGCCAAACATTCAACATAATGTTAGGTCAAGTAGCAGAAATTTATCAAATAATGTATAAAGGTCGAACTAGAAAAACTTAACTTTGTTCATTCAAATATTAGTTGTGATTGAATAACAAAATAGATCTTTACTTAGATCATGGTTCTTGGTAAAGTAAATTTATGGAAGCATCATAATATCTAGAAGTGAAAACTATTAAACACGTTTTGTTTAAGAAATGTTCTTCACCCATAAGAAATGTACTCCCTCCGTCCGGGTTTATTAGGCCTAAAGACAACTTCTCTTAGACCAAGACACATAGTAATTTGCTCACATTAATTATTCCATTCCACTCCCAATGCACTCTCTCACATGCATGCAGCCAATGAAAAAGCACACATGAAGTGTATTAACTTTTCAGCCATGGCACCAACAACAATAGCTTTCAATACAACCAATGAAATGGTTGCATGCATGCACCTTTCCAATGCGGGGCCTTATAAAAGGGGACATGCTTGTGATGCTGAGAGGCCTAATAAACCCGGACGGAGGGAGTAGCAACCAATTAGAAGTATAAAACTAAGTTGATAATCTGGTACAAGTTTATTAAATGCAACTAAACTAATGCATTTTAAACAATATTTCTTCTTTGTGTTTCTTAGGTCATCTAATGATTTCCTCCCATGTTTTAAATTTTTAGACTAAATTATGCATATACACTATAAATGTATCTTTGAGAAATCCTATTATTGGACACAATAACAAATCTCAATACATGAAGCAAGAACTTGTACCTCTTAGTTTGGAGATGTTCTCTGAGCATTTCGATAAGACGTGACTCGCAAGTGTGAATAGATGTCTCTGTGCCAAGTTTGGATAGTAAAGTGTGGAGAATTTTTTGAATGTTAGGCTTTTGAGACACCGTCACGAGAGCATGAGTGTCAAATTCTCCCTTGACCCTACGGTATACCTCATTGGCAAGTGTTGTTTTTCCCAGACCTCCAAATCCCACAATTGATACGGCCTTCAACTTCTTCTCCTCATCCATTAACCAACTGACAAGCTCATTCGCTGGTCCTTCTATACCGACAAGGTCAGCCACTTCTGTGTAGAGTGCAGTGACTCGTGGGTCAATGTCAACATTACTTGATGGGGGTATACGAAGCTCATACCTTCTTTGACGTTCACTTGTCTCTAGCACAAGTTGTTTGACCTCTTCGATTTGTCCAGCAATCCGATGACGATCCCTCAAAGTTTTGAGGCGTCGAACAGTATTGCTAACAAGCCCAGTAGTTCTATCATTTTCACCAATGCTTTGCATGAAGTCATCGATGATGTCCTCAATCTCATAAGACATCTCCCTCACCATGTCTCTCCACCTCTTGGTTTGTGGATCTAGCTCATCTAGATCTGAAAGCCCATCAAGAGCATACTTCATGCTGATAAGCTCATTATTAATGAACCTCACTTCTTTTCGCAGGTTCTTCAGCCTCGTAAACTCCTTTCCCATGAGGGTTGTCAGCTTACCCAACAAAGAGTTCATCACACCAGTAGAAGCACTCACCATTATTCCAGCCATCTCTTGATGAACAGCTTATCTTGGCCCCAGGTTAACTATACTCCTGCAGAATGGGAATTGCATGGGTCAGAACTTCAGAATAGTTTTCTTCCTAGATGACCCTCATTGGGACTCCAGAGCATGATAACCAGAGGGAATGACGATACCAACCAATCCAATAGAAAGCAATACAGTTTGATGATTTGAAAGCAATTTCACAGCAAATGAGCTTGAGTTTGGAGAGATTTAGTTACCTGAAATTTGCAGCGTGTGCTTGGACTATTCCATGGCCAAAGCGAGCAGCACCGAATGCCGGCTGGTTCAACAGTCTATCAAGATCTGGTCTGTGAGAAAAATGGAATAGTTCGCACCTACTGGTTATGGAGAAGATGGCATTGAATTGCAGTTGCAAGTGAGGTAGACGAAAGAAAGAAGTGAATAACTTAACAAGATACCTGCCCTCTGCAATAATGGAGTCTAAAAAATTAAGCATGTGCAATACTTAACCCAACACGAGACACGCATTCCAACAGGTCTCTCTCACAGGATGGGCCTGCACTGAACTTACCCTACAGAGTTAGCTCCCAGTTGCTTTCCATTTTATACTTTCTTTTTTCCTTGCGAGCTACTAATAGAGACTGGATCACCTCTACGTTCACGCTAGGGCCAACAATTGGCAGGATATTATTAACTATAGTTATACTCTAGATTCACGCTGCCTAATGTTAACGAGGCTGCATGCATGCGGTTCATAGTTAATTAACTTAGATTAATCATCTAGATCCACGCCAAACCCACCGCAGAAAATAGCCATGCTCATTTCCATGTGCAAGCCAGTGAAGACTTGACCATGCACATTTCTACAGATCATAGATTAATCAGAGCTTTCGCTCTGCATTGTTTCAATATTTCCGAAAGAGCTTACAAATCTCATCAGAGAGAATGCATATGTAGATTGGCGGCCAGGTTTTCTTTTCACTCATGAAATGACACCCTTGCTGCTCCTCACTAGTTTCTACCGAAAAATTCTTGGTTTTGTTAGGATTGGTAGCAAGAAACTGATGAGGCTGGGCATGCGCTGCAGCTAGCTCTGAAACTTGGTGGGCTTTCTTCCTTCCATTTGTACATGCACCTCCCTGTGTAAGTATTTTCGAAAAGGGGCGCTTTATTACTTAAAAGGTTTAAGTAACACCCGGCCTCTGCATAACTGAGATGCACACAGCCAACAATATCCTCACAACAAGCGAAAAATAAAAATAAAAAAGGAAGGCGAAATACAAAGAAAGTATATTTGTATAGCGCCTAAACCGTCGGTGGCCCAATCCTAAGATCATGCTGCCACCCATGTTGGATAAAAGTATCCCTCGCCGTAACCTCCAATCGTGTACACACCTCCGTAAACAGGTCTCGATTCTCCACTCGTTGTAGAGAGGACCATAAACGAAGCGTCCCAGTACATCTGTAGATAACCTGCATAAGCGAAGTACTTTTATCGTTAAAAATCTTATCATTTCTACATAGCCAAAGCGACCAAATCACGGCAAGCGCTCCCACCCTAAGTAGACTTCTGAACTTGTGATCAATCCCATGTAACCAATTGCCAAATATATTAGCAACACTACAAGGAGGGTACAAGCCAGAAGCTATTTGGATGACTGACCATATAGAACGAGCCAATTTACATTGGAAGAACAAATGTTTTATTGTCTCATCATGCGGACAAAATACACATTGCGTACTTCCATGCCAATTTCTCTTAATAAGGTTATCTTTAGTAAGAATGACTCCGCGACGAAGATACCATGCAAATATTTTATTCTTAAGAGGTATCTTCATCTTCCAGATCTTCTTATTAATATCAACTGGCACGTCAGACTGGATCAAAGCTCTATACATAGATTCCACTGAGAATTGCCCATTCTCATGTAGGTTCCAACGAAATAAATCGGACCCCTGTGACAACTGTACCGTGGATAATCGTTGAAGTAATATGTTCCACGATTGAAGTCTAGGTCCAATTAAATCCCTTCTGAACGTCACATTGGGCGGAAATGATTCCAAAACCTTGGCAATAGTATCACCCTTGTGACGTACAATATTGTATAGAGCTGGATATTGTTCCCGGAGAGTAGCATTACCTAACCACTTATCCTCCCAGAATCTAATTTCCGAGCCATTCTTAATTGAGAAGGACCCATAGCGGAAGAAATATTTCTTCGTTGCCATTAATCCCGCCCAAAAATGAGAGTCCCCAGGCTTCCAGTATACCTGGGATATCGCCTTTGAACCCACATATTTTCTCCTAAGGAGGGTTTGCCATACACCATCTTCGGTCAACAACTTAAATAACCATTTGCCAAGGAGGGCTCTATTCTTAACCTCAAGGTCATGAATTCCCAACCCGCCTTGGTCCTTGGGACGGCAAACCACACTCCATTTAGCCAGCCGATATTTCTTTCTCTCGCTATCTCCTTGCCAAAAGAATCTTGATCGGAAGTAATCCAATCTATGTAAAACTCCTTTCGGCAATTGGAAGAAGGAAATCATATACAGTACCATGTTACTTAGTACTGAATTTATGAGGACCAACCTCCCACCCAGAGATAGCAGTTTACCTTTCCAACTGCTAAGCCTTTTTTGTAGTCTCTCCTCGACGTGTTTCCATTCAGCATTTGTGAGTCTTCGATAATGTATCGGTATACCCAAATAAGTGATCGGAAACTGGCCCAACCCGCATCCGAACAGGTCGGCATACAGATGGGCCTCGTCTTGAGCCTTGCCAAAACAAAACAATTCACTTTTATGGAAATTTATCTTAAGCCCTGAGAGTTGCTCGAATGCTCCCTCCCTGTGTAAGTATACACACACTACTATATCAATATAATACTTGCAAGTCCTGCAGCGCTTTGTAGAAAAGATCTCATCAGCTACTCCGTAATACTAATATGATGAGTTGACCAAGATGGCGTATCAATACCAGAATGCTGATTATCCCTGAGATCAAGGTGCGGACTTGCACAAAAAGGGCAGCCCCAGTGCATGTAGCTCCCGCTTGCGCAGGGTCTGGGGAAGGGTCCGACCACTTTGGGTCTAGGTGCGGACTTGCACACATGAGACATAAAATTAGTGAAGGACATATTGTTTGGTATAGCTCAAATTGCTGATCCATGTGTCATACTGACAGGGCATGTATCTCCCAGGAACTGTACAATACTGGCAGGCTAACCATCACCGGTAACCGTCAGGGAAGCTTTCCATGCCAGTCCTTCCAGGAATAATAGCTCTCCCTGGATAAGGATCTGTGTCAAGTAATGCGTCAGGAAACCTCACAAGAAAAGTTTTATGGCGGTTTTCAGTACCTTAATCCGTCGCAGCTTTACACCATCATGAAAGAAATAAGGATTCTGCTAGTGTATAAGCTCCTTCACCTAACGGCAATCTTTCTTAACATACAGGTCAACTCTAACACATGACATCAGGGCATTCGTACGTCTCAAAACACAAATTAAACAAGGTATCAGATACCAAGACTTGCTATCCTATGCCAGGTCCTCCTGTCATATCCAGCCAACTCTACCATTACTCCACTATGACTGTACATACAAAACAAAAGCAACTTGTTTAGGATGCCTAAAACAAATGCCAGCTGCAAGCATCTATGTCCTATCCACTGTACTAGCACAGATAAAAATATGGCTCTAAACTAACGAGCAACTTGATTAACTTATCCAGGGTCTAACTGTTCCATTATATATCTTCACAACATTCAAAATTTTGATATATATAATGTAATGACACACAAATGACACGATGACAACGATGAAGCAGGAAGCTGCGTTCTGGCTCTACCCTATCATGCAGCAAAAGCTTAGCTTGTGAACACCTATACACGATCCACAAACATCAACAAGTCCCTGGGAGCTCACCTCCACTCAAACAAATACGGCCCATCAGGAAGGAGGATCGTGACCCGAGCTAGAGTAAGGCCCACCTTGTTCGCTCAGCATCTTTTTCCAGACAAGAAAAGTTATTTTTGCCGACGAAGACATGAGAAAAGGTCGATCAGCATCGTCGCACTTGCATTGGCATATTTCATTAAAACAATCAAGTCTTTTCAGGACCGATCAGGAGAGTTGTATGCCAGTCGCAGCGACGAGGCAGAGCAGAAAGGAGAAGGAGGACATCCGCGCACCTTGGGAACGCCATTGCGTCGCGGCGGCCGGGGTAATGGCGTGGAAGAAGAGGCCCACGCGGCATAGTCGTGGTTAGCAGCGTGCGCGCGCGCGTGGTCCAGCGTGAGCCAACGATGGACGTCAAAACGGGAATATGATTATGTGGCACCTACGTGTACGCCATGTCATGTGACGTGGCAGCTACGTTTGTGCCATATCACCCCTATTTTTACTTGTTCCCAAAAATTGTGAGATAAGAAAAAATATAACCTCTCACCAAACCATATGTTCTAGTTTAAAAAAAAACATATGTTCTACTTTTTTTCTTATCAATATTTCATAATTTTTGGTATCATAATGTTTCCATGGTAAATATTGTAACTTCTCCCCAACGGAAGTTGGCTACCTCATCCGCCTCCCACGACGCCCACACACCCCATGATCCGTTATGTAAGCCCACTTAGCTCAGAGGTTAGAGCATCGCATTTGTAATGCGAGGGTCATCGGTTCACCCCTCCGGCCACACCCATGCAGTGCAGACCCCATGCTGGCGTTGTTGTCCTCTCGTCTAGAAAACATGAGCAAACGTGGGAGATCGATGTTGGCTCTTTTAAGCAAGGAAGTGAAATGCGAGCAGGGGCGGCAAGTGGACCTCTAACTGACCATGAGTGAACCGCAGCGTGACCAACAGGTCCGCGTCATCGCCGAAGTAGTGAAAGGCGGGGGACGGCCGCGACGGTGCGAGGTAGAGGCACCTGCAGGCTGCAGGGACGGTCGCCTTGGCTGACTCGGCGGCGGGGACTCCATCAGGCGAAACATGCCAACTGCACGGATTGGCGAAGAGAGCTG